AAATAACTTTCTTTCACAATAAAATACAAACACAAATTTAAAAAATAAACAAAAGGAAAGTATATATTTCAACTTCTAGATTCTGATCTATTAAATAACAAATAAAACTAAATATAACTAATAAGAAAAACAAAATAAAATAAATAAAAAACTAAAATAATACTAATAAACTTGTACAAGATTATAAAAATTATATAATACTACTAAATAAGCTAGTTATAATTTTATACTAGTTATTTATATCTATATCTAGGATGTAAAACAAAAAATATTTTTTTTGAGTAGAAATCTAATTTCAAATTACTATTATACTTCTAGCAAAACTTTTACAATACAAATCAAGTAAAATTTTTTTGTTCTATATCTATATATCTACTAAGTCTAGACTTTATATTTACTAATCCTATTTTTAGTAAAATTTTATAAAATACAAAGAATAGGGTATTAAAGAGAGTTTTTAGTTAGCAGATACTTAAAGTTTTCTTTAAAAGAATGTATTAACTGCTTGTTTTTTCTTCTAAGTTTTTAGTAAACTTTACCAAAGTTTTTTTACCAAAATTTTTTATAAAAGCTTACTTCTTCTGCTAGTTATCTTATATAGTAATACTTTGATATATATATTAAATATATAGAAGAGTCCTCAAGATCAGGCAATTAACTTCTGTAAAAACTATTTATTTATTAGAAACTTCTACTTTTCTTTAGTAAATTTCTGTAGTTATTTATAGAAATTTTTATATAAGTAATTATTAGAGAGAGTTGTATATAATAGTTGATAGTAATGATTAATTTATTATAAGAATCAATTAATACCAATTATATTTTAATTGATAATAAATATCTAATCAATTAATAAGAAAAATTTTTTTTTCTTTGGTGTTAAGGTGACCTCTTGGTCATATTCCTTTATTCGATTATAGGTATAATTTTTACAGTATGATTTTTATATACTGTATATATATTTGGAGGGTACAACTAGTGTTACAACTTGGGAGAGCTTTTATATATCCAAGCCAATTTAGTCCAGTACCATAAGCATAAATTCTGATGATAAGTAGCACAATCTAGATTCATATTTGGTAACAATTATCAATTGGGGTAGGTATTGCTGCTTCAATAAGACTATATCTGCAAGTAGTTGTCACAGGTTATGCTTTGGTTACTTAGGGTCCAAGTTAGGTTGCTACGGGTCACGTATAGGTCCAAGTTAGATCACCGCAGATTACATTTAGGTCCAAGTTAGGTTACCACAAGTTATATTTAGGTTCAAGTTAGGTTACTTATTGAGCAAGGTCAGAGCTTATTATATACTTATTATCGGATCAAAAAAGAATTGAGTTAAGTTACGTATCTACTGTATTTATTACTTGAACAGAGTAAAAAAGAGTTTGGGAAGTCAGAGAAGTTACTTTATTTACTAGTCAAGCGCCCTATTATTACATTTCGATATTCAAGGATTTCAAACCCAGATTTGGAGTTTTGAACCTGGATCTGGGGTTTTAAACCCAGATTCTAGGTTTCAAACCCTAACCCAGGTTTCAGACCCATACACGTGCTATTACTACTGTGACTACATGCTTTACTATTTTTATATAGGAAGACAAAGAAATTATATAGCAAAAATGCAAAGTATGGAAAATTTGTCAAAATTTTTCATAATATATTCCTCTTCTCAAAGGGTAAGCTCTGTCGAACCCCTCAACAACCTTCAGATTTTCTTCTCCCTCAACCTTTTTGCCTCACTTATCATTTCATCAAAATCTGATTTCAGCATTCATTCCAGCACTGAGATAGTAATGCGTTAAGCCAGGGACCATGTACCATTTTTTATTTATTTATTTTTTTTTTCCTTGGCATTTATTAATTCATTTCATTTATTTATTCATTGCTTATTTAGGCTCTTCTCGGATCAAATACACATCGTGATGAATTCAATAATGTCAGAACACAACAGTTGATTAACTTGGTAAATCAGAGTCTACGTAAATATTGGCCAAATTGAGATAGTTTCTTTTAATCAGATTAGTCATCCGGGTCACTATTTTTTCATCACAATCTCGACCTTCTCTAGCTTTCCATCTCCATTCAAGCATCCTTTTGCTATTTTTATCTGAATTTTTGCTATTTTGGTAGCACCATCCAGGATTACATTGTTCTCTTGCATTGCTATTGATGAACTGATTTGTATATAATTCATTTTCATTAGACAGTTCATGTTTGTTTCTAATAATCATATAGTTGGGCATTTTACTTATGCATTCGATCTTTCTGGCTAGTTGGCTACTTGACAAGAGTAAGATTTCTTTTTTTTTTGCTTGTTTGTGAAGGTTTATCACTGCCTGTACTAACTACCTTATTTATTTCATTACTTTAATTCTTTTCTCTATCTTCATCTATTTTGCACTCCTCAACAATACTACTTTGTTCCTTACTCTCAATGCCTTTTTCCATGTTGTCTTCAATTTGTCAAACCATTTTTCCAAAATATCTTTCTGAACTTTCATCACTATCGAACCTATCTTCTGTTATCAATTTTTCTCTCTCGTCGTTTCTCACACTTCCTTTAATCTCTTTATATTTGTTCTTTTCCACCCCAATTCCATTTTTATTACAACGTTCAAGACCAACATTTCTAGCAGGCTTCATATCACCAGTTCTATCTCAGATACAATCCTCAAGGTCCATATGATCATTAGAACTTTGGGCTTCAACAAGTTTCAAATCATCATCTTCATTAGGATTCGAATAATGCTTTGACAAGTTTTGATCATGTATAGCCGATGTTTGAATCTTGCTCTTCACAAGACTAATATTATCAGTTTTATCTGCATCGACTAGACTCGAATAATGCTCAAATGCTTTGCCTTCATCATTACTGGCAGCTTTAGTATCATTAATAACCTCGCTAGCATAATTGTAGGTTTTATATTCAACCTTTTGATTCGCCATATTAATATTTACCTGACTTCCATCCTTACTATAATAGCCATGCTTATACATTTCATTGCCCTTAATCTTTGTCTCAACATTACGACATTCAAGACCTTCTTTGCCTCTCGAATTGTTATCTTCGGCATTAGTTGAACATTGTCCAAATGCTTTATCCTTTTCATGACCGGTTTTATTTTTATGACAATATCCAACCTTGTGTGTTGCATCATTATTTCCCAAGTCAGCAGATTTTTGATGGCAACTGATCATCAACACTCTAAGGTTTCTTGGGTTTGGGCTACCATTGCTTGTATTACCAGGGCTTCTTTTACGATACTATTTCTATCAACGGTGACATTACCTTGGTTTTGAGTTGGAAGACTGTTTCTATTATCATTTACACAATTATTGTTTGGACACTTGTGGGCAATGTGTCCTACTTGTTGATTGACAAGGCACACAGACGGTCAGTTTGTCTTCTCACACCATGCTTCGTTTGACAGAGGATGGAGATAGCTATTGTTATCATTATTATTACCTATCGTTGTCACTACATCTCGTAGTAGAGCCAAAACTTGCTTCATTGAATTATTTAGAGGCTGGGCTAGTATGGTTTGCTGGGCTATGAGATGCATAGGCTGAGTCATGGGATACATCGTTCAGGGCGACATCAAGGTTGTAGAATGTATTATTAAATCATGTATTGCAGCAGGACTATATATAACATTCTTTTGGGCGAAAGACATTTCACAAGCTCGGGCTTTTTCAACAGCTTCTTCAAGCGTATTCAGCAAAAAGGTTCTAATGGCTAATGATAATTTGGGATGGAGGCCTTGCACAAACATTCGATCCTTCGTTACTTCTGAGTACTAGATTCCTATGGCCAATACACATATAAACAAGGACACCACATCGACAGCATACTGTTCTACTGTCTTGCCCACTTGTTGTCATCGGGTTAATAATTTTGTGGTCCACTGGTTTATTAGAGCTGTTGTGCAGAAAGTTTGCCAAAATTGGTGTATGAAACTTCAGTCTTGTATTGCCTCATCATTCCAGTATAGTATCCAACTTTTTCTTTATTCCTACTACAGCACAGCAAGACCAATTAGGTGACTAGCCACAACTACGAGCTGCCTTGTTCCTACAATATTGTTTGCTTGGATTGCTCATTTTATTGACTCCAACCATTCTATGGGATCTTGTTTTTTTCTGCTAAACATTGGAATCTTTACCAAATCTATTTCACCAAGGTTTGCTTGAGGTTCCTTGGATTGCGTCAATGCATCTACCATGGTTTGGAGCAACTGTTGGAGTTGGTGATTCGGGCTATTCAACAGAATTTCATTTTGAAAAAGATTGTTTTTCTACATTTTTTTTTTTTTTTTTTTTGAATATATGTCTATACTATTGTACTAACGCTTGTTTATACTATTATACCGACGTTCATTTCAACTCTTGTATCTACACTCGTTTACACTATTGTTGTATACATGTTCGTCCACTTACTGTTGCAACGTTCATTCAAACTTATTACCGAAACGTTTTATCTTCATTCAACGTTCGCCATACAATCCTATCAATATTCGTCTACACAGTATTATCCACGTTATACACACAATACTTATCAATGCTTGCTCACACAGATTATCAATGCTCGTCCAAACAATATTATCAACGTTCGTTCATACAATACTATCAACGTTTCGTTAGTACTTGTTATTTATTGTCACAATTTAAACTCAGGGTCATAAGTATAAAGAAATTAATTATTATAATTATTTTCAACACAAGACGATCTTTGGCTTTTGCTCCTCTTCGTTTGCTCCTCTTCGTTCAGTCCTCTTCATTCAGTCTACACAATCAGCACCAAAATATTACAACTTGGAAGAGCTTTTATATATCCAAGCCAATTTAGTCTAGCACCGTAAGCATAAATCCTGATGGTAAGTAGCACAATTCAGATTCGTATTTGGTAACAATTATCGATTGGGGTAGGTATTGCCGCTTTAATAAGACTATATCCGCAAGTAGTCGTCATGGGTTATGCTTAGGTTACTTAGGTCCAAGTTAGATCACCACAGGTCACGTATAGATCCAAGTTAGGTCACCGCAGGTTATGTTTAGGTCCAAGTTAGGTTACCGCAGGTTACGTTTAGGTCCAAATTAGGTTATCGCAGGTTACGTTTAGGTTCAAGTTAGGTTACCGCAGGTTATGTTTAGATCCAAGTTAGGTTACTTATTGAGCAAGATCAGAGCTTATTATATACTTATTATTAGATCAAAAAGGAATCGAGTTAAGTCACATATCCACTGTATTTATTACTTGAGCAGAGTAAGAAAGAGTTTGGGAAGTTGAAAGAGTTACTTTATTTACTAGTCAAGCGCCCTATTTATACATTTTGATATTCAAGGGTTTCAAACCCGGATCTGGGGTTTTAAACCCAGATCTGGAGTTTCGAATCCAGATACCAGGTTTCAAACTCTAACCTCAGGTTTTAGATCTATACACGTGCTATTATTACCATGACTATATGCTTTACTATCTTTATATAGGAAGACAAAAAAATTATATAGCAAAAATGCAAAGTACGAAAAATTTGTCAAAATTTTTCATAATACTAGCCACACATGCAACTTTTGGTTGTCTATTTTAAGTAGTCCACTTATTACTAAGTTCTACTCTAGATGTTACCGTATTTCGCGGGCTAAACCACCCCCCTGTAAAATAATTACCGGATAATATGGATATTTTGATAGTGCATGCGGATGCATAATATATTTACCTTGTCTATTACATATCATGATAATCATGATTCACTACATGATAAAAAAAATTTTTTCGATCTATACAATCTATT